GCCTGCGCCTGCGCCTGCCTGCCCTCCCACTCGCCCGCCCGCCAGCCAGCCAGCACGCTAGATAAATATTTAATGCAGGGAGGGGCACCTATCCACAGATGTGAGGAAAGGGAAAGAAATGATTAGAGAATGAGCAGAAGAGATTTGGGTTAGAGCCGACAGCAGTTTCACAAACGAAAAAGCGATTTCTAGATAGATGGAGGTTATTCAGTATGTGAAAACAGGGAGGGAGGGGGGGGGTTTTGATGAATGCTTCTGAATCTGTACAGGTAAATCCGGCAATGCTGCCAAATTTATACGTTTAGGAAGCTCCCTACACAGACAGACAAAGCACTATACAGAAACAGAAACACACACACACACACTCTTACCTTGTGACCTGAGTTCTAGTATTGAAGTCCAAAGCTCTCATGGACTGCAGGACCTCCACGCATCCCATATACTACAGGAGGCAAAGAAACAGCACATAAAAAATGTATTAGCAAAGCTGTCTTATTAGCCAAACAGCAATGCATTAGATTAGTTTACGAGTAGCAACCATGTCTGCTGGAAGAGAAGGTGGGGGAGGGGTGGATCTGTCAGATTGAATCTCTCTCTTCAGATCATTCAACTTAAGAGGGTGACTCCCCGCCCTCCAACATAAAATGAAAACACCTCACCAGAAGATACTGCTCCTTATATTTCCTTAGCATAAACAGCATGGTAACATGGTAACATGCATACAGTACTGTGCAAAAGTCTTAGGCGGTAAAAAAAAGACAAAAAAAAAAGTTTAAATCATCTTCGTATTGGTGTAACATCAATGTCTCGTCAATGTCAGCCAACCATTTCAAAGCCTCTCCTGTAGTCACCCCAGTGAGGTGCCCGTGAGGAGCGGTTTGGGAACTGAAGTGGTGTTGATCTAGTGATCCAGTAAGATATCAGTAAATTTTTGGAGAAGAGAAAAAAATTCTGGTTAGTTTTAATTGTCTTAAATGCGTATGTTTGAATGTTAAACTGTCTTTTTGTTGAGCACGTATACATTTCCAAGCAAGCTTTTGACATTCCCTTTGACTGCCTAAGACTTTTGCACAGCCCCGTAGCAGAGCTGTATCGCGGGGGGCCTCGAGGGACATACCCGGACAGTGTACGAGACCCCCGTGGTGCTGACCACGCTGTCCGAATGGAGCCAGCCTCGGGATGGCTTGTTGACGAAAGACCCGTGCCGTGTCCACTCATCTCCGCCGAGCTGTCCCCCCTCCACCCGGGCCCGTCGCGAGGCCCCGCCCAGCCGGTTCATGTCCTGCGTGGGACGGGGAGGGGGAGAGGGAGCCATCACTGGGGGCGCTAACTCAGCCATGGGCTCCCCCGGGCGCTGCCCAAGGGCTTGGGAGTTAGGAGGCCTGTTCGCTGCCTTAAGGCCGGGGAGCAGAGTAGCGGACACGCCCAGGCGTAGGGCACCCATGCGGGGGAAGAAAGAGCAGAGCGTCGTGGGGCTGTTCTCGGCCGGACGGGGTGAGGCAGGAGGAAGGATGGGGGTAAGGGGAGCTGGAGGTGAAAAAGAGGAGTTTGAGTTCGTATCGTCTGTAGAGCTGAGAGATTCACTGCGGAAATGAGTGTATTTTGTTTTGGGGACCA